ATATAATATATATATATAAATATATGAAAAATTGATGTGGGTACTCAAATGAAAGGTCTTGATGAGTGTAATGTCGAGATGAGCTTATATCTTTAAAAATGTCAATAATTAAGAAATTGCATCGTTTTTTCTAAACTAATGATATTTCTAACAATATAAGCTCATCTAGATGTTACACTCATCAAGAGCTTTCATTTGAGTACCCACATGCATTTGTTATATATTTTTCATATATACATATATATAATATATATAAATATATGAAAAATTGATGTGGGTACTCAAATGAAAGGTCTTGATGAGTGTAATGTCGAGATGAGCTTATATATTTAAAAATGTCAATAGTTCACAAGATACAATATCATTTTATCATATAAATACACTGGCCTCAAAAATTTGCTTATTCTCTTAATAATATAAATTTTTTTTCAGATGCCACCAGGAGCTCAAGCAAAAATACTCGAGCTAGGAGGTCACAAAGGAACTCTGTGCTGTGACTGGTCAACAGCCAATCAATCAGGAACATGCATAACTGGAGGAGCCGAAGGGAACTGTCGTGTTTCTACTCTTCTCTCACCATGATATAAAAATAAAATTAGCATGTGTATAAATTCTTAAAATTTTTCATTCAATGAAAATATTTTATACTTTTTTCCCCGACTGATTTTAGTGCAAATATTTGTAGATAATGTAATTTTAAATCTTTGTAATACATGTAAAACACTTATTACTATTTTAATAATAATTTATTGAAACAAAATTTAAATTCAACCTGTTTGGAATGATAAGAACTTACGATCCAGTCGATGTAACGAGCGACGTTGAAAAGGTCCAACCCGATCTAAATGTGGAGACCAATAACGTCTTAAAGCCTCGTTTATTTCTGCTGGGGAAATTGGATTTATTCCTGGACTCTGTAAATTAAAAATTAATTAAAATATATAATTAGCTTAATTATGTATATTATTAAGAGAATAAGAAAAATTTTGTGTCCAGGATAATTATATGATAAAATCGGTTTTTTTTTTAGTGAAATTTAGGATCATTGCAAAGGTCTTTTCAAAAGTGCCTTTTCAACGTTTCATATCATTCTCACCGATAGTCAATTTACTATGATAAGTATTTAGGCTGCATTCAAAAATGCTCTATCTCTAGATACAAAATTAAGAAATGACCTTGTATCTTGTAAACTATTGACATTTTTAAAGATATAAGCTCATCCCGACATTACACTCATCGAGACCTTTCATTTGAGTACCCACATCAATTTTTCATATATTTATATAAATTATATATATATATATATATGTATATATAAAAAATATATCAGAAATGCATGTGGATACTCAAATGAAAGCTCTTGATCAGTGTAACATCGGGATGAGCTTATATCTCTAAAAATGTCAATAATTAAGAACTGACATTGATATCTTGTCAACTAATGATATTTTTAAAGATATAAGCTCATCCCGATGTTACGCTCATCAAGACCTTTCATTTGAGTACCCACATCAATTTTTCATATATTTATATATATTATATATATGTATATATGAAAAGTATATAAAAAATGCATGTGGGTACTCAAATGAAAGCTCTTGATGAGTGTAAGTTCGGGATGAGCTTATATCTTTAAAAAGGTCAATAGTTAAAAAAGTACAGTGCAATTTAACAAAAGTCATTACTTAATAAAGCAAAATTTCATTTATTTATAGTTGACAAGTCTCGGAAGTCACATAGTGACTGCAAAATTACTAGTTTATTAATATTACAACTATTATTATTACTTACTCTGCCATGCTGATAAGGTTTATAAGTCGTAGGATTGCAATAATTAAGTTTTACTCTATCTAAACTATCCCCATAAATTTTATTTTGATCCTGGCGCACTAAAAGAGCTAGATCTACTATTTGTGCCACTGTTTCGTACGCCAAATAGCTCAGTATGGTGTAAACAGTTTTGGACATTTTAATATCTAAAATAAAATTCACAAAGCAAACATTAATATCAATTAACAAATAAAAAATCTCCAAATATATATTTATATATATCATACCTTCAGTAGCGAGCCAGGTGATAAATTTAGGAGAGAACTTATTAGCAAATGACGCAGACCTCGCTTTAGTGTACTCAAAATACTGTACTGTATTCAATTTTCGACTAGCTAACTCGGCTCGAAGCTCACGATTGAGTTTCACGACATCCGTTATGTCACCAGTGTCAGTCAAATCTCCAATATTATCAATAGATTGAATGAATTTATGATGAGAACTTTTTTTCTTAGACTCATCAATGCCAGGACAGCCGTCAACCGATTCAGCCTCTAGAACTTTGTTGATGGACGATTTAAACTCTTTCAGATCAAGATATTTAATCAGTCGTTGGAGTTGAATCTTATCATGACGGAGGAGAAACAGCAAATCTTTATCTTCAACTATTGAAGAATCTCTCATATCAGCTATTTTACATGACTCACAAATAATGTTTCTTATTTCACGATGAACTACACTGTTAATTATTTTGGCTGATTCTACAAGAGGTTCTGAACAGTCTCCAAAGCCGTACATCATTTTACGTATTTCTGAAATTTAAAAGAATTTTATTAATTATAATTTTTAAATTATAAACAAAATTTATAACAGCTGTGATGTCTATCAGATAAACAATGTTGATTATTTCTCGAAATTATGTTTATCAAATAGAGACTGAGCCAGAGTATTTTAAATACTTACTCATTACTCTAAATACAGGCTAATTAATTATTACTATTACTTATAAGGGTTATTATTAAATATAATGTAACTGTTATTTTTTTTTTTTTTCTAATGGAACCCACTTAGTGGCTTTGCTGTTGGATTATAGTGTATTGTTTAAAATAAAATAATATAAAATAAACAATTAGTTCATACCTGGTATAAAGTTGACAGAATCACTCTTAAATTCATTTGTGTTAGCTGCATTTAACGTTTCAGTCATTGTTAATTAAATTATTTTCTCAAAAAATCAATGTTATTATTTTTAACTTGGAAAATCTTATAATTGAAATGTCCACATGCTAACCTAGACGTTTTTATTTGAAAACAAATGTCAAACGTAAATATTTTCTATGTGGCGCTGGATGCTATATAATAAGGTTCGGGTTGCGGTCAACCGGGGTCATCTGAGTGATCCGAACGGAAATGTAGCCAATGTAATAATTGTAAAGAAATTCAAAAAGTAACTTGCTCTCTAACAAGTTATATACATTTAATACTTCATACATAACACTTAATGTATGTCAAATAATAGTAAATTCTATATAATAAAATACACACATTAAAACATTTAGATATCATATTTATGAAAAAAATTAAACTGTAACCCATGAAACATTACAAAAGAACGACAATTGATCTGTCTTCCAAGTCTTCTAAGTTATAAGTAAGAAATTAGTTGTCGGTAAGGTAAATTTTTTTAGGTAACTGGCGGTGAAGGAAATTTAAATTATATAATCTAAATTCAAAAACAACCTTTTTATTCTAAATAAGAATAATTATTCTTGAAAATATTTATTGTTTTTATTTATTAAAATATATAAATATTGATTACTAAAATAAAACAAAAAATCGCTTATTTAATGAGAAATTATTTATTTTTCTTTATAAAGTAATTTTTTTTTTCTTTTTAATTCTATAAAATATTAAAAAAAAACTGTTCTTTAACTTGTTTCAGCTTAAACTATTATTTATTTATACACCGTCTCAACATTTATCAATAATTACGTTCTTGTCATATGAATACTATAAAACAAACAATTATTTTTTATATATACGTAATTAGAATAATATAAGAAGAAAAAATTATTAATTTAAATATAATTCGTTTAAACTTAGATTAAAGATAAAAAAATATAGGAATATCAGATATAATTAGAAAGTTAAAAAATATTAGAAAATTAAAAAAAAAAAAAGATGTTTTTGTTCCTTTAATATCGATAAATTTTGAGAAAGTGTATAAATAAATAATAATTTAAGTTGAAACAAATAAAAAACAGTTTGATTTTAATATTTTATAGAATTAACAAAAAATTACTTTATAAAGAAAAATAAATAATTTCCCATTAAATAAGCAATTTTTTGTTTTATTTTAGTAATCAATATTTAAATATTTTAATAAATAAAAACAATAAATATTTTCAAGAATAATTATTCTTATTTAGAATAAAAAGGTTGTGTTTGAATTTAAATTATATAATTTAAATTTCCTCCACCGCCAGTTACCTAAAAAAATTTACCTCACCGACAACTAATTTCTTACTTATGACCAGGGGTGGGCACGTAAAATACCAGATAACCCCGGTCAACCAGTCAGATTGACAACATTCCGAATTATTAAAACTCTAGAAAATTTAAAATTCCGCTGCATTCAAAGTTTATAAAATACATTAGCTTAAATAGAATACCAGCCGAAAAACAATTTTGTAAATTATAAAACACCGAGTTATCGAATATAAGTAAATATAAGTTTTATATTCCTCAAGAGTTAAAATTAATTTGATTTCGAAAAAGGTTCGTTCCGACGTATATTCATCCGAATACTCATCTATACGAATAATGATTTGGCCGAAAATTACTCATCCAAGAAATTGGAAATTTTTCTTAGATGGTCCACCTTCACTAGCATGAAATTTGAGTGTTTTATATGCATGCTTGTAAATTAAAATAAAATTCATTTTAAAAAATTAATTAAAATAATTAATTTAAAAAAATTTCTAATCTAAATATAAAATTATATACATTTTTCGGCTAAATGAGTGTTCGTCTGTTGATTCATTTTGACGTACAAATTTTCGTTGTTATGTTTTTTAACTTATTGAGACTTTGTGACTTTGAAAGATTCTATTAATATAGCTTTAGTATTTTCTTTATTTATGACTATACTTTTTGGAATTTTAAAATTTGTAAAATTAATTATTTTAAATTACATTTAATATTTACTTTCTAAGTTCTAGTGATTTATTAATTCAGAATGTCAGTCTGACTAGTTGACTGCAACCCTAAGGTTCATACATTTCGTTCGCGCTCTTTTTTAAATAACATACTTATATTCTGCGTATTTGAGATGGCTGCTTCAGCATGTATTGAGATTATGGGATTACAAAAAATTAATGACAGTAAAATTAGCAGTCATTAGAAAATTGTTAAAATTTTTTCAACAAACGAATTTGTTCCAAAAAATAATTTTTGAAAAATTGCATTTTTCATTTTTTTAAATTTCTACATGCCAATTTTTTTTGCCATAATTTATTTGTTAAAAAATTCTAAAAAAATGATTGTCTATCAACCGCAGTGTCATAAAAAAATTTCATTTATAGAAGCTCCAAAAAACTATAAATACAATTTTTCAAAAATAATTTTCTTGGCTTATTTTATTTAAAAAAAAAATCAAAAAATTATTAAGTGTTTGCTAATTTGTGTCATAAGTATTTCAAACATTTTTACTGTATTTTTTAAACTTCATTAATAAGCGTGTCAGTGAAGAATATATGATGAATAATATTCTTCAAAACTCTATAATTGAAGAAATAAGCCAAAAAAATCATTAGACATTTTTAATATAAAAATTGTATGCATATATAATATAATTATATGTATAAGTACGAATAAGATTTATAATTGTATTATTTATTTATTTTATCCATAGCATCTTTTTCTGGTACAACTTTTGCTACTTTTCTAAATTCTTTTGTTAATGTTTTAGGGCACTGCATCTCAGTCCAGCTGATTGGAATCAACGAAACACCTAAGAAACATTTCAAGATATAAATTGTGTAATAAATTATTATGAACAATAATTTAAAATATATAAATACCTTCTTCACTATGAGCTAAAACTACTCCCAACTCATTTTCCGCAGTTGATAAAGAATATATGTGCGCTTCTGTCATCGGTAGCTATTATATTACAATAGGAATTTTTATAGACAAAGTGAAAAAAAACATACACAGAAAAAATAATTTTTTTTTGCGCCAAGAAAATATTAAGGAAGGCAAAAGTTATTTTGGAGCAAGAAAAAATTTTTATACTTCTTCAATATTTTCTTGAGCCAAGAAAATTTACACTCCAGCCAAGAATTTTTTTTTTTCAATGTAGTTATTACTATTACCATTATTAAAAACTATTTAGATGAATAATAAAAAGGATACAACTCGAGCGAGTATAATATCACCGGGTCGGAAAGATTTATACATTTCTACTCTATCTTTTTCCGTGGCTCGTACATCCTCTTTTCTTAAAATCCCTCTGTATGATCGCGTTAAGATTATATCACCAATGCACTTCATTATACATTTACAAAAACGTTGATTCACTTGTGTTACCATCGCCGTAACAATATCACCAGGTGCTGGAACAACACTCTGTTCTTTTGTACCATGAACTACTATCGTTTTTGTCTAAAAAAAAAGCAGTCTTGTTTTAATTAATTAATTAATAAAATTGTTTTATGACATTGAAATTAGAAAACATAACAATTTTTTTTATTTTTCTTGAATATTAAACAAGGTCTAGAAAATTATTTACAAAAAATTGCACTTGTAATTTTTCAGAGCTTCTAAAGATGGAATTTTTTAAATAAATTTATCTTGTTATAAAATATTAGTTAAAAAATTTCTAAAAATTGTCAGACGTATCATATTGTTTTAATTTATTTTTAATTGTATGCTATGATGCAATTAATGATTAAAATTAATTTGTTAAAAAATGATATTGAATTTAACAGATATCTAACAGTTTAACAAAAAATTTATAACAATAAAATTACAATGAAAAAAATTCCACAAGAAGAAATTTTAAAAATTAGTGCGAATTTTTTTAAATATTTATTTTTATATTAATTGATTAGCTATAAAAATTCTAAGAATTATCAGATGTCTGCTAATTTAAAAAATTTGATACCATGATGTTGATAAACAATTTGTAAATAATATATACTTCACACTCACATTTTCTTCTTTAATTATTTCAACTGTACCAACTAACTTTGAATAAATATAACCATTTTCTTCATAAGTTCCAGGACCAGGTAAATTTAATTTATTTGATAAACAAAGTCGTTGTCCTACAATAAAAAAAAAATATTGAGGTTAGATTGTTCGATATTGTAAAATTAAAAATAAAATAAATGTTTTTATTAAATACCTGGTATACAAATTAAAGGACTTTTTTCGTCAGCCATTGTTGATAACTTTTTTTTTTTTTATAATTTTCGTACTTTAATTTGGTTTTAAAAATATAAATCTGTTTGTTGTTGATTCACAAATTGCCAGTGGTACGCACGTGATATACATACATTCGGAGCAGTCGGCGGCAAGTATTTCCCCCGTAAAAATTATAAAAACGTAAGTACTGTACATGAAAACATTTATACAAAATATATAATTATAGTTAACTAGAAAATATGATAATTGATTTAGCAGATATTTAATAATTTTACGAATTTTTCTGTAAATAAATTATTGCATAAAAAAAATTGACATTTAGAAAATTTAATAAATTAAAAATGCAATTTTTTAATAATAATTTTTTGGAGCAAATTTTTTTGTTAAATAAAATTAAAAAATGGCTAATTGACAGCTAACTTTAATATCATTATGTGTATAGGAAAACTTTGTTTATTTAAAAATAATTTTATGTAAATTAATTAAATTCGAGATCAACTAGATTTTATTTTTTTATATATTTTTATTTAGAGAATCATAATATTAAAATTAGCCGACATTGTTAATTTTTGGAGTTTTTTTTTAATTATTAAATTAGAACTAAATAATATTTATTAGAACAATGCACTTATAATTTTTAAAGTTTTTTAAAAATGAATTTTGTTTTTAAATTTTTTTGTAATAATTTTTCTAATAAAAAAAATTCTAAAAATTTTTAGATGTCGATTAACTTAATTTTCATTAGAGAATCTGTAAAAAAAATATTTTTTTCAATCTTTGACTTCTCAGTAAGAACTAAAAATTACTTCAAAGTCAATAACGAACTCTGGCACCAAGGCAACTTTGCAAGCTTTGCAGTGTCAAGGTCTGTCTATAAAACTGTAAGCAAACCATGAGAGAAATTGCGCGATATTTAATTACTTTTTAAAATTAATTAATTTTATAGTTTATTTTTAATTTAAAAATTAATTTTATTTTTGTAAATAAACCCAAATGTTTTTGAAAATTATAATTATACCAAAAACATCAAACTGAAAATAATTATGACACTTGATAATTTTTTTTTTCTTGAAAAATAAACTAGGTATAGAAAATTATTTCTAAAAAAATTTCATTTATAATTTTTTAGAATTTCTAAAAATAGAATTTTTGTTTATAAATTGTTCTTGTCATAATTTATTTGTTGAAAAAATTCTAAAAATTATTGGGTCTCTCAATCTCAGTATCATAAATAATGTTATTTTTAGTAACGAATTCCATATTTGGATGTGATAATTTAAAAATGTGAAGAGATTTTAAAAATTATTTTTTACTTTCATCACAGATTAAATTTCTTATATTTTAAACTAAATTAATTAATATTTAATAAAATAATTAATGCTAGTTTATAAAAATTGTTTCTGTTTTTTTTTTTTTTTCACGTTAATAAACTCCGAAAGCTGAAATACTATAAAAATAATAATTATTAATTATTATCAATGGTAATTTTATGATCAATACTATTCTAATTAATTTATTATTTAATTATTGATTTTTTTTTTATTATTAAAAATACATTTTTAATTTTTCGTTGTTATATGATTGAGTTATTTTAATAATTGTTCATAAATTTTATTTAAAATATGTTTTTTTTTTTTAATATTATTTTAATCGGCTTTCCTCAAGCCTCGTGATTTCCACGCCGACAATAATTTCGATGAGAAGTATAACGTGAATGAGTGTACTTGAAAAGCAGCTAAAATGAACGCATACCATAATAGACCATAAGGTAAATCCTGAAATGAAATGAAAAATTTTAATACTCTTTTAATTAATAAAAATTGATTAACTTTTTCTATAGAATATATTCTTCGTATTTTATCAATTGAAATGAATGTGAAAAATAATTATACTTAATAAAAATTGCCTTACAAAATATTTTACCTTCCATAACAAAATATCTTCCGTTTTCCCAACAGTCAAGTAAACCCATACATCAGGGAGGTAATAAATAGTAGCATAAATAATTGGACCAAATCCTAGAAGACCAATTCCATATATGAAACGTGTCATTGATTTTATTTGATTCTTTTTTATTGCTGACAGACCAATAAATGGTACCAATACATTGGATAACCAAATATATTCCCACCATAAAGGCTAAAACAGATCAAAAATAAAATTAGTTTAAAAAGTACATTCTATTTATTTAATTTATTAAATTAATATAACACTAGCAATCTGGCAGTCACTATGTGACTGCCGTGACTTGTGAACTATACATAAATAAAATTTTGCTTTATTAAATGATGATTTTTGTTCAATTGCACTTTACTTTCTGAACTAATAACATTTTTTAAGATATAAGCTCATCCTGATGTTACACTCATCAAGAGCTTTCATTTGAGTACCCACATGCATTTTTGATATATTTTTCATATATACATATATATAATATATATAAATATATGAAATATATGAAAATTGATGTGGGTACTCAAATGAAAGGTATCGATGAGTGGAATGTTGGGGTGAGCTTATATCTTTAAAAATGTCAATCTTGCACAAGATATTTGTTAAATTACCCTGTACTTTCTTAACTATTGACCTTTTTAAAGATATAAGTTCATCCCGATGTTACACTTATCAAGAGCTTTCATTTGAGTACCCACATGCATTTTTGATATATTTTTCATATATACATATATGTAATATATATAAATATATGAAAAATTGATGTGGGTACTCAAATGAAAGGTCTCGATGAGTGTAACGTCGGAATGAGCTTAGTTTTAAAAATGTCAATATTTCACAAAATAAAAGGTCATTTCTTAATTATGAATCTAGAGATAGAGCATTTTTGAATGCAAGCTAAATACTTATCATAATAAATTGACTATCAGTGAGAATGATATAAAACTTTGAAAATGTTAAAAAATATTTCAATTCTTACTAGCTTTTCATGCCATAGTAAGCTATTCATTCAAAATTCTCTACTTTCAATTTCATATAACATTTTCATTTCATATTTTGATATGTATAAATATTTTTTTATGTTTTTTATACTTAAAAAAAACTACTTTAGTCGGTTCAAATTAATTTAAATTAATTAAAAAGAGTAACTTCATAATTTTTTACGTTTTCAACAACAAAATTATAAAAACAGAATCTTATTAGTACATTGCATACTTGGATACATTTTAAATAAATGAAATAATTAGTTATCAGAGTACCAATACCTTCGGCACTTGTAATTCTTCAACCTCCAATATAAATATATCTAAACGGTCTAATATATCTGGTAGTAATTTAGTAAGCATAACGAAGAATAGTAAAAAGTGAAACCATATACATTTGTTCAGTCTTGATTTATTCATTGCGCTGAAAAAAAAAAACAATCATACTCAATAAATTATCAAATAGTGCTTTCCTAATTCATAATTTTATTGAAATAATAAATTAATGGTGATTTATTCAATTTTTATGGGCAAAATAATCGACTGTATATATCATCATAAAAGTGTTACTTTAAAATTCTACTCATTCAAGCAATAATTAGCTTATTTTATTTAAAATAAAATATCATAAGCAGAGTGAAAATATGTAGACAAATAAACTTAAATGTAATCAGTGTTGAAATTAACCAGTATTATTTCTTCAATTAGAATCATTTTATGTCAGCAAATACATCACATCTGGAATAATCTCAGATCATAATAAACAAATGATAATGTGTTTACATCAAGTCTCTCAAATTTTTCTGTAACATTAATATGATAAAATTACTGCCGATAATTTAAATAAATTCCATTAATATAATTAATTATAAAAATATTTAATTAATTATTTTTGATACTCACCTCGTTTGATATTGACTAGCAACTCTTTGCCTATGCGTGAAATCACTTCCATCTGTTCCTAAAGCTTGTGCTATTGTAGTTTTTGAAGCCATTTTATTTATTTATTTATTATTGTAAAAATTTTATTTAAAATATTTACAAATTTATCATATAATTTAAATGTTTAAAATTAACTCAATACAATACAATTATATTCAGGGAAGGTAAAAACCTATTTTTATACACGAGGTCTTATTGTCAATCGTCAAATTTTCGCTTCCGTTCATTGGAAAAATAAATTTTTATATTTATTTTATTTTTTATTTAACCACACAGTTAATTATTTAATTAATTTCAATTTTTTTCTAGTTACTTAACTAATTTTTATAATTTTTTGACGTCATTTAATTATTTATCACTCTATTTAATCTTTTCATTTTTCTTACACGAAATAAACTCTATTGATAAATAAAATGGTTACTTTTTATTTTTACTGACGAACAGATGATATATTTTGTATGTATATATTGGTATATAATATATAGGTATATAACAATTCTATTTTTCAACTTGTTTCTTATTGGCTGTTATAAGTCATTAAATTTTAACCAATCATCATTCTAAATTATGCGCCACGTGGAATTTTAAATTGCCACGCGGTTTTAATAAAAAAAAAAAAAAGTTTTAATTTATGCAGTAAAAAATTTTTTTACTCCGATTTTTTGAATTTTGTTTTTCAATAAAAAATTTTATAATTCATTAATTTCGTTTAATAGTAAAATAAGTAAATGTAATTTAATAGAAATAAGATTATGTAAGGTTATATGTACTCAGTCCTATTTCTAGGCCCTCAAGGCTGAAATAAATAAATAATAATAATTTCGTTTAATTACAATTCATTCACTTAAATAATTATTTAAAATATAAAAAAATTATCTATACTTTAAAAAATGATTTTTTATAATATTCTAATTCAGCTATACTTTCTTTAATATCAATTAAGCCCCGATGATGGAATTTTTTACTGGGTGCTTCTTCAAATATTTCTGAATTCCAACGCCTAAAAAATGTAAAAAAATTTTATTTAAATATTTTATATCAAGTAATACACTTGTGTTTAACGATAAATTTAGTAATTAATGATTCCACGTCAAGTCATTAAAAGGTTATGCATTATGACGTGGAATCAGAAAATCAAACGGAGCAGAGTAAGCTACATCCGAATTACTAAAACGCCGTATTCAGTTAAAGGAATAAAATTTGAATTTTTAAAATCATTGTAGGTGAGATCAATTCAAGTCAACAATCGTAATTCATATTGATAGAAAAATTAGAGCTCAATTATTATCATGTTAATTATTAAATAACTCGCTACTTTGCAGTCACTATGTGTTTGCCGTGATTTGTGAAATATAAATAAATAAAATTTTGTTTTATTAAATAATGACTTTTGTTAAAATGCACTGTATTTTTTTAACTATTGAAATTTTTAAAGATATAAGCTCATCCCGATGTTACACTCATCAAGAGCTTTCATTTGAGTACCCACATGCATTTTGATATATTTTTCATATATTAATATATATAAATATATGAAAAATTGATATATATAATATATGAAAAATTGATGTAGGTACTTAAATGAAAGGTCTTGATGAGTGTAACTTCAGGATGGGCTTATATCGTTAAAAATATCATCAGGGAACAAAATGCAACGTCATTGCTTTATAATTCACATTTTTAAAGATATAAGCTCATCCTGATGTTACACTCATCAAGAGCTTTCATTAGAGTACCCACATGCATTTTTGATATATTTTTCATATATACATATATATAATATATATAAATATATGATAAATTGATGTGAGTACTCAAATGAAAGGTCTTGCTGAGTGTAACATCAAAATGAGCTTATTTCTTAAAAAATGTCAATAGTTCATGAGATACAAGCCTATTTTTTAATTATGTATCTAGAGATAGAGCATTTTTGAATACAGCCTAAATACTTATCATCATAAATTGACTATTAGTGAGAATGACATGAAAATATAAAAAGGTACAACTCCAGATCAAGGCTTTTCCAACGATACCAAATTTAACCATAAAAACCCGTTTTATCTTATAAATACGCTGGCTACAAAATTTTGCTTATTCTTTTAATTATATAGATTAATTATCAAATAATTTTGAACAATGAAAAAAATAATGTATTCAAATGATTGACATTTAAAAAAAAATAGTAATAATTAGTTTTATTATTCTTGACTTGAAATTTTAATTTCTTAAAATATTAATAGTTTTTTTTCCAAAATTTTCGGTTCAAACAGTGAAAATTTACTTGTTTACGTCTAAATTGTGGCCTACAGCATTAGATAATCTTATTTAAAAGTAATTTTACTCACTTTGCTAATTCTTTAATAGTCGAAACATCAATTATCCGATAATGTAAATATTCATCAACAATTGGTAAATATTTCTTTAAAAAAATTCGGTCCATCCAAACAGTGTTACCCGCTAATGGTGTTGTTTTTTCAATTGTATAAGTTTTCAAGAACTCTAACAATTTCTCTTCAGCATCTTTTACTGTGTATTTACTATTTTTCACTTTATCAGTTAATCCTGACTGTAAGAAAAAAATAGAGTAAATTTAAAAATGAAGTTGTTCTTAATAAAACTATTTTAACTTACCAAATTATGAGTTCTAGTGCACCAATCATCCATTTTACTCAATATATCATCAGGTTGATGTATTACCATTTCAAAATCAGGGCTTATTATTTTCAAGTCCTCAGTAGTAACTAAACAGGCTATTTCTAATATTTTATCATTTTGAACATCTAATCCCGTCATCTGAAAAGAGATTCATCGTTTATTTTTATAAATTGTTAATTTATCAAGTAAAAACAGTGATTGTAACACAAAAATTTGCACTTTTTTTACTGAAAATAAAATTAGCAGACATCTGAAAATTTTTAGGATTTTTCTTATTGGAAAAATCATTACAAAAAAATAAAAAAAAAAATCTTACATTAAGAAGATTTGAAAAAAAATATAAGTGTAATTTTTTAAAAATAGTTTTTTGGTTTCAACTTAATCAATAAAAAAATTTTTAAGTGTCTCCTGATTTAATTTAACAACAAAATTCAAGTACCTCCATATCAATCCAGACAATATTATTCTTCATTTTTAAATTCCTCACTGGTAGATGTAATTTTCTATCTAAAACAAATAAAATTTTAGTTAGTTTTTTTATGAAAATTAAGTTATCCGACATCTAAAAATTTTTAGAATTTTTTTTTATTGAAAAAATTGTTACAAAAAAATTTCACTTGTAAAAAACTTAAAAAACTACGAGTGCAATTTTTAAAAAATATTTTTCTGTTATAATTTAATTATTAAAAAAAAATCAAAAAATTAAAAATGTCGGCTAACTTTAGTATTGTTAGTTTTTTTATTTATAATACTAAAGTAAGCCGACGTTTTTAATTTTTTTCATTTAATAACATTTAATTTAGATGTCACTTGACAATTTTTTAATTTTCTTTAACACAAAAATGATTTTTAATTATATTAAATTCCTACAGGTCAATTTTTCAAATAATTTTTTTTGCCACAATTCATTTGTTAAAGACAATTTAAAAAATTGCCAAGTGACAGCTAAATTTTATGTCATTTTCATTTATTAAATTAAGACTAAAAAATATTTTTATAAAATTGCAATTATGGTTTTTCAAGTTTTTTACGAATGAAATTTTTTTTTGTAACAATTTTTTCAATAAAAAAAAATTTTTTTAATTTTTTGATGTCGGCTAACTTAATTTTCATTTTTTATTTAAGTGATAAAATATTAAACAAAAGTAACATTGTTCGACTCTAATTGTGACATTATAAAAAATAATTTTGAAATTAGCCCACGTGATTTACCATTATTATAAAGGTTATATTTTCGGAGTTTAATATTTCTTGTCAGTAACTCAATACTTTGTTTCCAAAACATGTTTAACAATAATTGACAATCAGTTTGATAATAAAAGTTTAATTATTCATTATCTTTAGTACAGCGTTAATGAAAGCAAAAAAATGAATACAAATAAAATCTTTGGAAAAAAAAAAAATATGTATACACTACTTTTTTTGTTTAGTCCTCGTGCTTCGACAGACACTTGGTAAATATGTTTGGTAAACAATGAAGTTCAATGAAAACTACACCTTAAAGATAATAACATTAGAAAAGAAAAATGTTTTAACCAATTGCGCTTCGAATCTAGAAGAAGAAAATCGATTGATGATAATCCTATTGGATTATAAAAAGATGAGATTAAAGTTAGCAGTCACTTTACAATTTTTTAATTTTATTTAACAAACAAATTCGGTCCAAAAAATTGTTTTTAAAAAAATTGGGTTTTATATTTTTACATGTCAATTTTTTTTCTCATTTTTTTTTGCTATAATTTATTTGGTAAAAATATTAAATATCTGGTAAATTAATTTTAATTATAAAAAGTGTGAATTTGCAATTGAATTTTTTAAGAAGAAAAAATTAAATTATAACATAAATCAGCTGTTAAAAAAGAAGAAAAATGTTTTTTTTTTTTTATATATTAAAGTTAGCGGTCACGACCATTTTTTAATTTTATTTAACAAACAAATTTATTCCAAAAAATTATTTTCTAAAAATTGCATTTTTTAGTTTTTAAAATTTTAAATTGTCAATTTTTTTTTTAGTATAATTTAGTTGTTACAAAAATTCTTAAAATTATTGAGTATCTACTAAATTAATTTTAATTTTTTGGAGACTGAAGTTAACACATTAAAAATTTTTTTTATAATTTTATAGCAATTAAATTATTATTATTAAAAAAAAATTTAATTAAAAAATTACATGCAGAAATTTAAAAAAATTAAAAATGCAATTTTTTTAAAATTATTTTTCAGAAAAAATTTGTTTATTAAATAAAACTAAAAAATTGTCATATGCTACTGCTAACTTTAATTCCATAAAATTCCACACGTGAAAATTAATAATAACATTTAAGTCAGCTGTTACTTTACAATTTTTTAATTATATTTAACAATAAAATTAGTTTCAAAAAATTATTAAAAAAAAATTGCATTTTTTAGTTTTTAAAATTTCTACTTGTCAATTTTTTTTGCCATAATTCATTTGTTATAAAATTCTTAAAATTATTAATCATAAATTAATAAAAATTACAAGTGAAAATTTTTAGAAGCATTTTTTTATTCTAATTGATTTGTTATAAAAATTTTTAAAATTGACAGCTGACAGCTAACTTCAGTTTGATTTTATTTCAATAAATATTACAATTGAACCGAAATTTTAATTTTTGCAACAAGGCTACAACGGAATAATGAATTTTCATTGGCTAAAATAAATGAAAGGTGTTTTATTAAGTAGTTACATATGTGCTTGAATCTTGTGTATAGTATAGTATAGGTATTATAGAACTTATAGCATACGGAGTTACTTGAAGTCAGTTTCAAATTATCAACTCCCGCGTTGCGAGCCTGTTGCCCAGTTTATTGATCTGACACGATTGAACAACCTGCATTGCTGTCATTTACCAAAACAGTTGTACCACGAACGAGTTTAATGCCGTGTCGTGTGTCATATTGGGTGCTCGAGATATCAAATTTTCGTCTATTTTTTAAAAACATTTATTTTAGTTTAAATAGAACAACAAATATTTACAGAATTTCTTCACACTTTTGTGCTTATAAACAACAATTTAGTCTGAAAATCTAAAAAACTTAAATTTATCATCAAACTTAATACTTAATTTTATTTAATTAAAATTATTATTTCTAAAAAAATTAATTTTATCAAGCATAAATTGTGGCGTAGTTAAATATTATTTTATTTGTTAATTAATTTATTGATTAACTTGGACAAAACTGACATAAAAATGTAGAAGAACATTTTTAAAATCAATAACGACGTTTATTATTTTTAATGTTAAAAAAAGTTTTAAATTTCTAGTTTGTTGTTTTTTATTTTTTTTTTTCATTACGTTTCAATGTCATTATTGGTAATTCGAAAAGATCAATATCAGAGTAAAGTGTGAATAAATAAAAGTTTAAAATGTCGCAACATTATTGGTTCAGCTGTAATTATTATCGATAATTATGTCATTGATTTAAATTAATTTAAAAAAAATGTATTATTTTATTTTATCGGTCAGTCAGTAGATCTATTTATACTTAGTGTGACAGTGGAATAATATTATTTGTTGTTAATGTATTAGGTATAAAGTACATATAAGTATTATATAGATTTATAGATGAATGTATATACACATATGTATGTGTATATATGTATCTATAAATCTCTATGTATATATACAGAGAAAGAGAGAGAAAAGTATACATAGATATAATATAAATCCGTATATTAAAATATAAAATCGATGATTGAAGCAGTTAAGGAAGTAAATAACATAAATCAAATATGAAGAAGTTTACGATAAAGGGAGTGTTAGACGGTTTTCGATCGTCTGTTGCTCAACAAGTTAAACCTGATCAGGAAATCATTGAAAATCTACGAAGTGATCATTTTCAAGTTAAAAGAGTAAGTTTTTATTTATTACTTACTAATTTTATTTTTCTTCTTTAATTTAGTGTAATAATATATATGGTGTTTTATTTGCATAACTTTACTAAGTCTTATATGATACTGATGATATTAAAGTTAGCTGTCACTTGACAATTTAAAAAATTTTTTTTAACAAAAAAATTTGTTTTTAAAAAATTGCATTTTTAATTTATTAAATTTTCTATATGTCAATTTTTTTTATCCAGTGATTTATTAGAAAAATTATTAAATATCTCCTAAATTAATTTCATATGATAATGATATTAAAGTTAGCTGTCACTTGACCATTTTTTAATTTTATTTAACAAAAAAATTTAACAAATGTTCCGAAATTTTTTTTTTTAAATTGCATTTTTAATTTATTCAATTTTTTTCCTCAATTTTTTATCTAGTAATTTATTTATTAGAAAAATTAATAAATATCTGCTAAATTAATTTTCATATGATACTGAATTTAATAATAATAAAGTTAGCCGACGTTTTTAATTTTTTGATTATTTTTTCATTTATTAAATTAGAACTAAAAAATATTTTTTAAAAATTGCACTTATAGTTTTATGACATTAAAGTTAACTAGCAGTCACTTGACAATTTTTTAACTTTATTTAACAAGCATATTTATTCCAATAAATTATTTTTAAAAAATTGCATTTTTAATTTTTTTAAATTTCTACATGTCAATTTTTTTTACTTATTTTTTTTGCTATAATTTGCTGTTAAAAAAATTCTTAAAATTATCAAATATCTGCTAAATTAATTTTTATTTTAGTTTTAAAA